ACAGGGTCTGCGACATCCACAAAGGAACGTACACACTTTGCAGCGCCAAAGTAAGCAATAATTATACAATATTAATAGTTTTGATAGTGAGAAAGAGATATGAACCGACTCAGTCAAAGCAGCCCTGGTGAACTATTGAAGTTTTCTGAGTATTCCAAAGATGGAAAAAGAACCTTACATATTAGAGTCACACAAGGGTCCAGGTTAGGTTTAAAGAGAGTCTTCTTTAAGATGCTATCCGCCAACCTTAGCTTTAGGCTACCAGACTACTGTAGGGTTAAGACAGAAATAGCTCTATTAAATTAGCGGTTCTACTCCAAAGTACAGTTTCATTCAAGGAGGGGTGAGCATTTACTCCGACAAATACTAACGTTGAGCTCGCAMACTGTGTGCTCAAACTCAGTCAATGGGTTTTTAACCTAACTAGATATAGTWTCGAGCCACTTCATTGTCAGACTCCTTTGCTTGCCTGATCATAGCAGAATTGCTACAAACTGCAGACCCGTTGAACTAGCAAGAGAGAGCATCCTTAACCCTAWCTCATCGAAATGGGAACGAGTTAGATCTCCGTTGTTATCTTGCGTCCTAGCTCCGGACCAACGATCCTATCATGCGCTTAGGTGTTGGCGACCACTGGACTCCTAGCGAAGTTGATCTTACCTCATTCGTAGGATTTCTTACTGGGCATTKCCCAGTTAGCATTCTTGCTGTAAAGTTAGAAATCCAGTCGTACGTAAATTGTCACAGTTATATAGAGGAAGATAAAGTGGAAACATCCAGGCAACTTCTCTTCAATTTTTCAGCATTTGCAAGACTGAGATTTAAGCATCTCGGCAGTCATACCTTCGACGAACCAGGAGGCTTTGCCGAAACTGGCACTGGCTCGTTTCATGASGATCTTTATGTGCAATTTTACAAGAATTCTACAGCGGACCGTCGTTATAAGCTGTCCAAATGTAATTCCAGTTAAGATCGGCCATTAACCTAACCTACACTTACTTATGATGCTCTTTTTATACTTAACATTCACCTTTTCCTTACAGCGCTCTTTTAAGGTCATCTTCAGCTCTTTCCCTTACACATACAACTCCAATGTGATAGACGCCAAAGTGCAGATCCACAACAGCAGCAGCGAAATGTACCTCTCAGTTGTCTTACAAGTCAATGAGGAGCTCGACGATGTGTATCTTAATTACAGCATTGCTTTGGATTTGGATGAGGCAAACTACACAGTACTAGCCAATCGTACACTAAATTTTTGTAAATTCCTTAAACAACATTCATTGGATTCCGTACTGCGTAACATATATGAAGATATACTGAAAGAAGGTAACTTTATCAAGAAATGTCCGATCGCTAAGGGCCTATACATGCTACGTGAATACCGCATCGATGAGGAGATGCTGCCCAGTTATGTGCCCGAAGCGAGCTTCTTTGTAGCGATGAAGATATCCAAGGCCAATGGGCAAGTGCTCTTCGATGGTAAGCTGTATGGGAAGATCGATAAATCGAAGGGTTTTAACAATCTGAAAATGTTCAGTTTGGGATAGTAGGAGGAGTGTTATAAATTGGCGATCGCACATTTTATRTAATGAAGTCAATAAATATATTTTTAATAAAGTTACAAACATTTCAAAATTTTTTCCCTAGAAGTCAATAGCACTTGAAGCTCAGATAATCTTGGTCACATTCGCTTGTGTAGTCATTAAATAGTTGACAGATCTCAGCGCAACGTCATTTATTTGCAAATTCAACACGATGTGTATAAGTAGGCTCATCCAAGTGGGCTGGCTGCTTGCATGCCTTCYTGTCGGCGGTCCTCGAGCGCTGGCAGTTTTGGGGATTTGTTGGGCCGCGCCTCAACCGCAACGCCGCCTTTGCRCTCGCTTGTCAACGTCATTGTCGCGCTTTAATATGCAMAGCAGCTGTCATCGTGCTTTGTTGTGCGTYCCCGTCGAACCGAACYCGCGCCGCGCCGTATACGACGTAATTCGCTTGTCACGTGACGACATTGTTCATCATCTGTGAAATTGTGTACGGTGCGTGCGATGGCGGCTTGATGCGACTTTCCGCGTTCCGCATTCATTTCGCTATTTGCTTTTCTTACAACTTTATAAAAAATTGTTTTTTTTTTTTCTGGAATGTGGTGTCACGCTGTCTGCCATTCCCGATTAATTATGACAATTGTGCAAAGCTGATAATGATGATAGGCATAAGGAACTCACTGCATTCTGAAGTGATTCAGCTCTACTAATGCTCTATACGACTGGAATGTAAGTTTTCACATTTGTTGAGAATTCTTCAATGGACGTGATGGAATCCTTAAGGAAGTGGATGCGTGACTGAAAAAATGCATGTGGAGGYGGGAATAATAATAAATTATGATTTTTATTATTAGTAGTTATTAGCAGCTGGAAGGTACGAGATCGCACTACATACCTTTTTCGAAACWCTGACGAACATATCTGACGGAAAACAAGAAGAAGCTTTATCTTCCACTAGATATAAAAAGATCCTTATCTTGATTTT